TTTTATTAATTACGCATTAAAAAAGTCAAATTTTTCTTTTTTTAAAGGGTTAATGCCAACTCTTCGTCTCTTCGTCCCTCTCTTATTAAAAAAAAATTCACGTTATCGTTTCAAAAAAAAAAAATCGAGTTAAGCCTTTTACTATTAATTTACCTCATGTCCCCCTTCTATTATTGTTTAACTATACATGTCATGCTTTTATTACTATTTAACCACACATACCCCCCCTTTATTAATAAAAAAATTTATTAATGTCATGTTTCAATTTAAAGGTAACAAACTGTTGAGTGTTAACTTACAAACGGATCAGACATGATCTTTCTTTCATTATTTTTTTTTCCAACTGTTCTTTTAGTGGGCCCTAGTTGTGCCACGTCAAAGCAACTCTCTATACCTAAACAACTCATCATCCCTAAAAATCTGGCCATCCCTAACCTTCACCTACAACTTTGCCTCCACAATCGCTACCACAAACACTGCTGCCTCCCATCACCCAAATGCTGTTGCCACCCCCATATGAACTAGAAACGTCATAGCAAGCCATCCTAGCATCATTGCAATGACTACAACATTGAGGCAGTTGTGCATCAGAAAGCAACCGACCGCCCTCTAATCTCAATGGCTCGTGGGACTCCCTCCTATTTGCAACCACTCCCCTAGCATCAACTTGCAGAACACCAAGGTTGATGGCTGTAGCCAAGAATTCGTCATCGGCTCTCTCATCTTACCAACAATCCCTATGTACTTCAAGGCCTCCATTGAGGGATGAGAATATCTACCCCAGCCAAGATAACAACCTGAGAAACCAAAAAACTGTTGAATAGTTTATAAATGTTTGAGATCCCACATCAATAAAATATGAGAATTTAAAGGAGTTTATAAATACCTATCTTTATTAACAAATAATTAAATAAATTGAAATCCAAAAGAAATTGAGCCTTGACCTTTTATATATAGTTAAAAGATAGGCACTTAGGGCTTGACTGCCAGAATATTTTTAATTTTTTATTATTTTCAAATTTCTTATTTTATTTTATTAAATTATCATTTGGAAAGACATGTCTGAAAATCAGACATGACTATTGACAGTCAAAAAATACCTCTATGAAATGGTGTCTTTTGGAGGGATACATCCCTTCAAATAGTAACTTTTCAGGCATTATAAATTCCTATGCAATGTCAGAGTTCTACATCTAATTTCTGAGAGAGTTTTGAATTCTGTTGTATCTTGGATGATTTTTAAATCCTTAAGGAAAGTGAGATCATGCCTCAGAACAATTCTTTTATTCTTCTGCTATTTCATTTTTCTTAACAAAAACACTACAAAGAAACACAGTAGAAGGAATTAAAACCACCAACGATGGCCAAGCAAAACTTAAGAAAACTTGAGGTGATCATTAAAGACCCCCTCTATGTGCTCTTGATTCTCGTCTGCAGAATTCATGAGGTCCCTTGACTCATGTCAATTCTTTCTATTTGCTTTTGCATATACCTTTTCTTTTGTAGGATTTTCAATGTAACAAAATTTTAGGAATGTCATCTAAAAATAATAGGTAAAATGAACTTAAGTAATCTTAGGGTACATTTGGTGCAGCTTTCCAAGTCCTTTAGCTTTTTTATATTATTCATATTTCATAAATTTAAATTTTTCTCTTAAAAATTTATATTTTTTCATTTTTTTTAACTTTAAAAAGATTCTAAATAGTAAAAAATCAAAAGTTTCAAATGTAAATTTTTCATAAACTTACTTTTTACTCACTTTTTCCTATCTCTAAAAGCAACTTTAAAATTTTCCTTCTAATAAAAATTTAAACTTATCACTCATGAATAGCACAAAAAAAACAAAAGCTCTAACAAACTGCACCAAACAAGCACTTAATCATATTGTAAGATGACTCTACTGTTAGGTCTACTCCTAGATGTGGAAAAACGTCTCTGTTAAAGGCTCTCTCCAAAAATCTGGACCCATCTCTTAAGGTGATGCTTCTTCTCTTTGTAACCTTTTTATGATGTGAATTTGAATATGTAACTTGAAAATGAAATGAGAAGGTTTGTAATAATTTGTTTCATATGAGTTGATATTTTCCCTTGTGGGTTTCAATGCCTTTCTTCTAAACTGATTTATTGTGATCTTTTTACTCATAAAGCCTTATGCTTGGAATTTACATGTCATATTGAACTTCAAAAGAATATTAAAAAAAAAAAGCATGATAAAAATTTTCAAAACCTAAGTGAGGATTATGGATAGTAAATGTAATAGATAGATGTCATTTACATTTTAAAATTGGTTAAATACCCTTTTTGGTCCCTCTACTATAGGAAAAAGCTCCTTTTTGGTTCTTGTACCGAAAAAATCCCTTTTTTAATCCTTACTATTCACAAATCTGGCCCCTTTTTGGTCATTCCGTTAATTTTTGCTCACATGACACGTTAACTTAACTGAAACAGCTGATGTGGATATGCCAACATGTAAAAGATGCTTACGTGGACTCCACGTCACCCTTCACGTGGACTCCACTTCCTCCGGCCTTTTTTCTTTTTTTTCTTTTTTTTCCTCTTACCCCACAGGTGAACCCAGGCTACCCAAGAGCCTGGGTTCGCGAGGAACCCAGGAGCCTGGGTTCCTCGCGAACTCGCAAGCTGGGTTCCTCGCAGGCTACCCAGCT